CAACTGGCCTGTTGGTCCAATGGACCGGTTGGACCAACAGGCCTGTTGGTCTAATGGAACTGTTGGACGAACTCGCTTGTTGGTCCAATGGACCGGTTGGACGAAGTGGCCTGTTGGTCCAGTGGAGAAGTTGGACGAACTTGCCTGTTGGTCCAATGGACCGGTTGGACCAACTGGCCTGTTGGTCCAATGGCCCGGTTGGACCAACTTGCCTGTTGGTCCAATGGATCCGTTGGACCAACTCACCTGTTGGTCCAATGTACCGGTTGGACCAACTGGCTTGTTGGTCCAATGGACCGGTTGGACCAACTGGCCTGTTGGTCCTATGGACCAGCTGGACAAACTGGCATGATTTTCCAATGGACCGGTTGGACCAACTGGCCTGTTGGTCCACTAGACCGATTGAACCAACTGGCTTGTTGGTCCAATGGACCAGTTGGACCAACTAGCCTGTTGGTCCAGTGGACTTGTTGGACCAACTGGCCTCTTGGTCCAATGGACCGGTTGGACAAACTGGCCTGTTGGTCCAGTGGACCGATTGGACCAACTGGCTTGTTGGTCCAATGGACCCGTTGGACCAACTGGCCTGTTGGTCCAGTGGACCGGTTGGACCAACTGGCCTGCTGGTCCAATGGACCGGTTGGACCAACTGGCCTGTTGGTCCAATGGACCGGTTGGACCAACTGGCCTGCAGGTTTAATGGACCGGTTGGACCAGCTGGCCTGCTGGTCCACTGGACCGGTTGCACCAACTGGCCTGTTGGTCCAATGGATCAGTTGGTCCAATTGGCCTGTTGGTCCAATGCCGGTTGGACCAACTAGCCTGTTGGTCTGCTGGACAGGTTGGACCAACTGGCCTGTTGGTCCAGTGGACCGATTGAACCAAGTGGCCTGTTGATCCAGTGTACCGGCTGAACCAACTAACCTGCTGGTCCAGTGGACCGGCTGGACCAACTAACCTGTTGGTCCAATGGACCTGTTGGACCATCTGGCCTTTTGGTCCAATGGACCGGTTGGACCAACTGGCCTGATTGTCCAATGGACCGGTTCGACCAACTATCCTGTTGGTCCAATGGACCGGTTGGACCAACTGGCCTGTTGGTCTAGTGGACCGGTTGGACCAACTGGCCTGTTGGTCCAGTGGACCGATTGGACCAACTGGCCTGTCCATTGGACCAACTAGCCTGTTGGTCGAGTGGACCGATTGGACCAGCAAGCCAGTTGGTCCAATGGACCTATTGGACCAACTGGCCTGTTGGTCCAGTGTACTGGTTGGACCAACTGGCCTATTGGTCCAATGGACCGGTTGGACCAACTGGCTTGTTGGTCCAATGGACCGGTTGGACCAACTGGCCTGTTGGTCCAATGGACCGGTTGGACCAACTGACCTGTTGGTCCCATAGACCGGTTGGACCAACCGGCCTGTTGGTCAAATGGACCTGTTGGACGAACTGGCCTGTTGGTCAAGTAGACCGGTTGGACCAACTGGCCTGTTTGTCCAATGGACCGGTTGGACCAACTGGCATGTAGGTCCAGTGGCCCGATTGGACCAACTGGCCTGCCCATTGGACCAACTGGCCTGTTGGTCCAGTGGACCGATTGGACCAACTGGCCTGTTGGTCCAATGGACCCATTGGACCAACTGATCTGTTGGTCCAGTGGACCGGTTGGACCAACTGGCCTGCTGGTCCAATAAACCGGTTGGACCAACTGGCTTGCTGGTCCAATGGACCGGTTTAACGAACAGGCCTGTTGGTCCAATGGTACGGCAAGACCAACTGGCATGTTGGTCCAATGGAACGGTTGGACGAACTGGCCTTTTGGTCCAGTGGACCGATTGGACCAACTGGCCTACCCATTGGACCAACTGGCCTGTTGGTCCAGTGGACCGGTTGGACCAACTGGCCTGCTGGTCCAATGGACCGATTGGACCAACTGGCCTGTTGGTCCAATGGACCCATTGGACCAACTTGCCTGTTGGTCTAGTGGACCGGTTGGACCAACTGGCCTGCTGGTCTAATGGACCGGTTGGACCAACTGGCCTGCTGGTCCAATGGACCGGTTGGACGAACGGCCTGTTGGTCCAATGGACCGGTTGGACCAACTGGCATGTTGGTCCAATGGACCGGTTGGACCAACTGGCCTGTTGGTCCAATGGACTGGTTGGACCAACTGGCCTGTTGGTCCAATGGACCGGTTGGACCAACTGGCCTGTTGGTCAAATGGACCGGTTGGACCAACTGGCCTGTTGGTCCAGTGGATTGGTTGGACCAACTGGCCTCTTGGTCCAATGGACCGATTGGACCAACTGGCCTCTTGGTCCAGTGGACCGATTGGACCAACTGGCCTGCCCATTGGACCAACTGGCCTGTTGGTCCAGTGGACCAATTGGACCAACTGGCTTGTTGGTCCAATGGACCCGTTGGACCAACTGGCCTGTTGGTCCAGTGGACCGGTTGGACCAACTGGCCTGCTGGTCCAATGGACTGGTTGGACCAACTGGCCTGTTGGTCCAATGGACCGGTTGGACCAACGGGCCTGTTGGTTCAATGGACCGGTTGGACCAGCTGGCCTGTTGGTCCAATGGACCGGTTGCACCAACTGGCCTGTTGGTCCAATGGACCGGTTGGTCCAACTGGCCTGTTGGTCCAATGCCGGTTGGACCAACTGGCCTGTTAGTCTGCTAGACAGGTTGGACCAACTGGCCTGTTGGTCCAGTGGACCGGTTGGACCAACTGGCATGTTGGTCCACTGGACCGATTGAACCAACATGCCTATTGGTCTAGTGGACCGATTGAACCAACTGGCCTGTTGATCCAGTGGAACGGCTGAACCAACTAACCTGTTGGTCCAGTGGACCGGCTGGACCAACTAACCTGTTGGTCCAATGGACCGGTTGGACCAACTGGCCTGCACATTGGACCAACTGGCTTGTTGGTCCAGTGGACCGATAGGACCAACTGGCCTGTTGGTCCAATGGACCCATTGGACCATCTGGCCTGTTGGTCCAGTGGACCGATTGAACCAACTGGCCAGCTTGTCTAATGGACCGGTTGGACGAACTGGCCTGTTGGTCCAATGGACCGGTTGGACGAACTGGCCTGTTGGTCCAATGGACCGGTTGGACCAACTGGCCTGTTGGTCTAATGGAACTGTTGGACGAACTCGCCTGTTGGTCCAATGGACCGGTTGGACCACCTGGCCAATTGGTCCAGTGGACAAGTTGGACGAACTTGCCTGTTGGTCCAATGGACCGGTTGGACGAATTTGTCTGTTGGTCCAATGAACCGGTTGGACCAACTCGCCTGTTGGTCCAATGGACCGGTTGGACCAACTGGCCTGTTGGTCCAATGGCCCGGTTGGACCAACTTGCATGTTGGTCCAATGGACCCGTTGGACCAACTCGCCTGTTGGTCCAATGGACCGGTTGGACCAACTGGCCTGTTGGTCCAATGGACCGTTTGGACCAACTCGCCTGTTGGTCCTATGGACCGGCTGGACAAACTGGCATGATTGTCCAATGGACCGGTTGGACAAACTGGCCTGTTGGTCCACTAGACCGATTGAACCAACTGGCCTGATTGTCCAATGGACCGGTTCGACCAACTATCCTGTTGGTCCAATGGACCGGTTGGATCAACTGGCCTATTGGTCCACTAGACCGATTGAACCAACTGGCCTGATTGTGCAATGGACCGGTTGGACCAACTATCCTGTTGGTCCAATGGACCGGTTGGACCAGCTGGCTTGTTGGTCCAATGGACCGGTTGGACCAACTGGCCTGTTGGTCCAGTGGACTGGTTGGACCAACTAGCCTCTTGGTCCAACGGACCGATTGGACAAACTGGCCTTTTGGTCCAGTGGACCGATTGGACCAAATGGCCTGCCCATTGGACCAACTGGCTTGTTGGTCCAATGGACCCGTTGGACCAACTGGCCTGTTGGTCCAGTGGACCGGTTGGACCAACTGGCCTGTTGGTCCAATGGACCGGTTGGACCAACTGGCCTGTTGCTTCAATGGACCGGTTGGACCAACAGGCCTGTTGGTCTAATGGAACTGTTGGACGAACTCGCTTGTTGGTCCAATGGACCGGTTGGACGAACTGGCCTGTTGGTCCAGTGGAGAAGTTGGACGAACTTGCCTGTTGGTCCAATGGACCGGTTGGACCAACTGGCCTGTTGGTCCAATGGCCCGGTTGGACCAACTTGCCTGTTGGTCCAATGGATCCGTTGGACCAACTCACCTGTTGGTCCAATGTACCGGTTGGACCAACTGGCTTGTTGGTTCAATGGACCGGTTGGACCAACTGGCCTGTTGGTCCTATGGACCAGCTGGACAAACTGGCATGATTTTCCAATGGACCGGTTGGACCAACTGGCCTGTTGGTCCACTAGACCGATTGAACCAACTGGCTTGTTGGTCCAATGGACCGGTTGGACCAACTAGCCTGTCGGTCCAGTGGACTTGTTGGACCAACTGGCCTCTTGGTCCAATGGACCGGTTGGACAAACTGGCCTGTTGGTCCAGTGGACCGATTGGACCAACTGGCTTGTTGGTCCAATGGACCCGTTGGACCAACTGGCCTGTTGGTCCAGTGGACCGGTTGGACCAACTGGCCTGCTGGTCCAATGGACCGGTTGGACCAACTGGCCTGTTGGTCCAATGGACCGGTTGGACCAACTGGCCTGCAGGTTTAATGGACCGGTTGGACCAGCTGGCCTGCTGGTCCACTGGACCGGTTGCACCAACTGGCCTGTTGGTCCAATGGATCAGTTGGTCCAATTGGCCTGTTGGTCCAATGCCGGTTGGACCAACTAGCCTGTTGGTCTGCTGGACAGGTTGGACCAACTGGCCTGTTGGTCCAGTGGACCGATTGAACCAAGTGGCCTGTTGATCCAGTGTACCGGCTGAACCAACTAACCTGCTGGTCCAGTGGACCGGCTGGACCAACTAACCTGTTGGTCCAATGGACCTGTTGGACCATCTGGCCTTTTGGTCCAATGGACCGGTTGGACCAACTGGCCTGCCCATTGGACCAACTGGCCTGTTGGTCCAGTGGACCGATTGGACCAGCTGGCCTGCTGGTCCAATGGACCGGTTGGACCAACTGGCCTGCTGGTCCAATGGACCGGTTGGACGAACTGGCCTGTTGGTCCAATGGACCGGTTGGACGAACTGGCCTGTTGGTCCAATGGACCGGTTGGACCAACTGGCCTGTTGGTCCCGTGGACAAGTTGGACGAACTTGCCTGTTGGTACAATGGACCGGTTGGTCGAACTGGCCTGTTGGTCCAATGGACTGGTAGGACCAACTCGCCAGTTGGTCCAATGGACCGGTTGGACCAACTGGCCTGTTGGTCCAATGGCCCGGTTGGACCAACTTGCGTGTTGGTCCAATGGACCGGTTGGACCAACTCGCCTGTTGGTCCAATGGACCGGTTGGACCAACTGGCCTGTTGGTCCAATGGACCGGTTGGACCAACTGGCCTGTTGGTCTTATGGACCGGTTGGACCAACTGGCCTGTTGGTCCTATGGACCAGCTGGACAAACTAGCCTGATTGTCCATTGGACCGGTTAGTCCAAGCGTTCCACCTGCGCGGTGACGAGCACCGCCACCCGCGCGACGAAGGGGTGTTCCGCTCCCTAGAAGGGGGAGGCCGGCGACGTGATGAGCGAGGCCGCTGGCGTGGGAGGGAAGGATTCCCGCGGGTGCGGGGAGAAGGCTATGACGTCCGACAGGTCGAGCAGGATCCGCGGGCTGAGCGGACGCGGGAGGAGAGTGACGAGGAGGATGAGCAGGAGTACGGCGACAAGCCGGCGTACGATGACAGGCAAGGGTACGACGGGCGCACGGCGACGAGCCGTAGTACGGCGACGAGCAGAGGCGCGAGGACGGGCAGGAGTACGGCGGCGAGCAGGAACGCGGCGATGAGCCGGAGTACGGCGGCGAGCAGTAACACGGCGACGAGCCGGAGTACGGCGGCGAGCGGGAGCACGGTGACGAGCAGGAAGACGGCGACCCGCAGCAGGAGGGCGACGATCTAGCGCCACCAGGGCCCCACGTACCAAGCGGAGCCGTGGAGGGAGAGCGCGCGCCCAGCGCGGAACACACCGACACCGCAGCAGCAGCAGAAGAAGAAGAGGGAGAGGCGCGAGAGGAGGGGGCACGGGCCGCGGACTCCGAGCGTCTAGAAAGGCGATACGCCCCCGACCCGCTGCAGCAGGAAGTCCGGACTCGCGAGGGAGGGGCCCGCACGATGCAGTCGCGGGGAATGCGCGGACGAAGCGGTGCAGAGGACAGGCGCACGACAGGAATTCCGAGTCGGCGAGCGGAGACGAGGGACGGAAGCTCGCGCTCGCCCAGAGAACCGCCGCCGAGGGCCGATCGGGAGGAAAGTGGGGAGGAGTGGAGGAGAATGTGGTTCGCTCGGCGGCACCACCGCGCGCACCTGGAGGAAGCCGTGGGAGAGAGCATCGCTCGCCAGAGACGCAGCGGCACTGGGAGGGGCGAGGGGAAGAAGGATCACACACACCGCACGAGCGGCAGCAGTGTGGGGCAGGACACAGAGGGGTGTCGCGGTCGCCCGACCGGCGCCGTTGGCGAGAAGGAAGGCGGGAGGAAGCAGACCGCACGCAGCCAGGCACACGGCAGCAGGGCAAGGGCAGGGAGGAATGGTCGCCAACCCCAGCGAGACGTCAGCCGCGTGAAGCCGGCCACAGGGAATGGGAGCAGAGTCATTATTCGCCGGCGCGGCGATGGGAGCGGGCGGAAAGGGAAGAGGGTCAGTGGGGCCAGTCAAGGGAGACGCGCGGAGAGCAGCTGGAGAGCAGGGCCAAGACAGGCAGCTTGGCGCAAGGGGCTGAGCGGGCACGAATGGCCAGAGAAGGCCTAGAACGGGCGGGGCAAAAAGGGGGGTATGGGAGACAGCGGGGAGGGGTAAGTGAGTCGTGGGGCGAGGGAAGAGGGGGTGCGGCCACGGCGACAAGGGTGGAGGTGCCGGCCAGATTCTCAGGCGATCAGCGGGAGGGGCCGTCGCTCAAGAACTACCTAATGCAAGTGGGGAATGTGAAGTATCGGTGTGACAGGAATGGCATGGACCCCGTAGACTTCTTCTTGAGCCTGCCAAACACCTTGGATGGGGAAGCCGAGACTCTGTACCGTATGAGGATGGAGGAGCTGCTGTGGAGGGCAGGGAGGTACGGGGAAGACCCCACCGAAGCGTTTTTGGAGCGGTTGCAGCGGCAGTTCCCAGGACACACGGCGGAAAGGATAAGGGAATTTCAGGAATTCAAGCGAGGGAGGACTGAGTCACTGCTGGCATACTATAACCGGCTGATCAACGTATAGTATGAGGCATACCGGAGGATGTGAAATGCACGGATAGTAGCCTCCTGATCAGTAAGTTCCTGGGGGGGCTGGACGAGGCGCTGGGAGGCAGGCTGCGGATGAAGGTGTATGAGCTGGGCGCGGAGGCAAGACTGGATGAGGTGTTCGAGCTAGCCGAGAGAGTGGAGCTCGCACAGAGGAAGTATGAGGCATACCTACCTAGACAGCTGGAGAGAACCCGCAGGCCGACCTGGGCGGCAGCAATGATACCAGAGGAGCGAGGGAAGGCAGAAGAGCGAGGGGAGACATGGGCAGAGACCAGGAGCTGCCACCGCTGCGGACAGCCAGGACATATTCGCAGAGACTGCAAGAACTGTGATGGGTGCGGAAAGTCGGGCCACCGCAAGCGAGAATGTCCTGAGGCCGCCAGGTGCGAGGTGTGCAAGAAGAGGGGGCACGAGGCCAAGGATTGCTATCAGAGGGAAGGAGGAGCCAGGAGGAGCCCAGAGGAGATGCAGCGGCAGATCAACAGGCTGCAGGCGCAGCTACAGGCAACGGGACCGAGATGGGGGGCAGAGGCAGGGATGTACGCTAGAGACGAGGAGGGAGAAGAGGTGGAGCAGGACGTGCAGTGCGCCCTCATGGCATGGAGAGGACGAGAGGAGATGGGGCTGAGGAGCGGGGGGAAGGACGGCAGGCAGGAGCAGACCAGGAAGGCCCGGGATAAGGGGCAGTAACCAGAGGATCCAGGGTTGGTTCCACCGCCGGCACGACACTCTCAGGAGAGGCTGGCGTGTCAGACATCAGTGCTGCTGCTAGAAGAAGGGGCGATGGAAGTGGAAGGGGAGAAGGTGAAGATCGCCATTATAGACACAGGAGCACAGAGCGTGATGTTGGGCAAGGGGATGGCTGAGAGGCTGGGGCTCTTGGCTCCAGAAAGGCATGTGAAAAGGGGGATGTTGGTGATGACAGCAGAAGGGGGGGAGCCGAAGTGGATGCCCTGTTCTCGGGCACCCATAGAGGTGACGCTACTGCCAGGAGGGGAGCATGAAACCAAGATCCGAATGAAGTGTGGCATCTCGGAGTCCGAGGATTTTGACGTGTTGGTGGGTACAGAGCTGGTGTTCGTGGTGGGCATGACCATCTGCACGTGGACGGAAAGGGTGGCGTTCCGAATGCGGTACTGGAAGAAAGAGGGGCCACTAGGGGAGCTGCCAGTCAGATTTGTGAAGATAGAGCCCAAGAGAGCGTACCAGGCCATGGCGGGACAGGATGGGGAGACGGGAGAGGCGGGGGACCACAAAAGAGTGGGCGGGACCATGGGAGTACCCAAGATGAAGATGATGGATGAGCCGAGGTGGCAAAGTGACTGGCAGCAGCCCATCCGCTTGGTGGAGCTGTTTGGAGGGATTGGGGCAGGATTAGCAGCAGTGGTGAGGAGTGGGATTGCGGTGCAAAAGTGGGTGTATGTGGAGCAGGCGCCAGTGGTAAGGAAGATGGCTGAGCATCACGCATGGAAGCTCCGGGCGGAGTTTCCAGAGCTCCTGAGTGCGAGGGTGATTCAGGAAGCCATGAAGGGAGAGAGTCATGATGTGGCACGGCTGACAAAAGCGGAGGTGGCCAGCTGGGGGCAGGTGGATCTGGTGGTGGCACGATGGGAGTGCCAAGGAGTGTCATGGGCGGGCAAAGGGAGAGGAAGGGGGGATCCGAGGACACAGCTGATGGAGGATCTCTTCCGCATACTGGAATGGCTGCAAGAGAGGCAGGGCAGAGTGGCATACCTGGTGGAAAACTTGGACTTAGCAGTGGACAGAAGGGAGCCAATAAGACTGGTACGGGAGAGGATCAAGGAGCAGTTGGGAGAAGGGGTGAGCAGTGATGCGGCCAGAATGGGGTCACTTGCTCACCGGCTGAGAATGTACTGGCAGAACATAGTCCCAGCACCGAAGCTGCAGGAAGAGATAGAAGGGGTGAGAAGGGCACCGGGAAGGAAAGTGCAGGACATCCTTGAGCCAGGACGGACCCCAGCGCCGGTGTGCAGGAAGGGGTACAGCAGACACTATCCCTGCAATCAGGTAGGACAGGCGCGGCGGGCGCTGCCCACTCTGGTGACGTATGCAGGAGCGGCAGGGTACGCATGGGCAGCAGGGGAGCCAGGTCCAGGATATATGATCACAGGAAGAAGTGGTGGGAGGAGCCGACCGCGCTGGAGCGGGAGCTGGCCTTGGGATATGGGGAGAATGCAACGGCGGCTCCTGGGGTGAGCGAGGCCAGCAGGAGGAGGGCACTAGGGAACGCAATGGACGGCAACATGATGAGATGGCTGGTCCAGCGGATGTGGAGAGAGACAGTGGTGAGCTGGGGGCAGAAGGAAGGAGAAGGGGGCATGGAGCCACGCCCTCAGGGAGCGTGGGCATGCCAGGAGAAAGAGGAAGAAGCGTGGAAGGTAGGGGAGGCGACGAGTAGGGAAGGGAAGGAAGCTATGCTGCAGCTGCTGACCAAACACCGACAGTGCTTCGCCTTCAACCTGCAGGAGTTGGGAAGGTGCAAGGTGAAGGAGATGGAGTTGAATCTGAGCAGTACGGAGCCTGTGTTCCACCGGAGGAGGAAGATGCCGCACGGGGATGAGGAAGTCTGCAAGGAGAAAATCAAGGAGCTGCTGGAGGCCGGGTTGATTAGGCGGTCGGAGTCGGAATATGCCACGCCCACAGTGGTAGCTGCAAGGAAGGACCTAACGGGGAAGGTCCTGAGCAGAAGGATGTGCGGGGATTACCGGGCGCTCAACAAGATCACAGTAGCGGACAGGTATCCCATGCCCATGGCGGAAGAGATATTTGACAAGCTGGCGGATGGGGTCTTCTTCACCACGCTGGACTTGCGGCAGGGGTTCAACCAAATCAAGATCAGGGAGGAGGACATCAAGAAGACGGCCTTCCATGGGCCGGATGGGCTATATGAATGGCTGTACATGCCATTCGGGCTGAGGAACGCATCGGCAGTATTTCAGCGGGTGATGGATGCGGTGCTGAGGGAGGTGGAGTGTGCGGCATGCTACATAGACGACATAGTGATCTTCAGTGCCACCGAGCAGCAGCACTTGCAAGATGTGGAGAGGACACTGGCGGCAATAGAAGCAGCAGGACTCACATGTCACCCCAAGAAGTGCAGGTGGGGTGAGGAGACAGTGCAGTACCTGGGATACGAGGTGAAGGGAGGACAGATTGGGATCCAGCAGGCTAAGGTAGAGGTATTGGACAGGCTGAGAGAGCCAAAGGACAAGTCAGGGCTGAGGGCGGTGTTAGGCTTCCTTAGCTACTACAGGAGGTTCGTGCCCAACTTCAGCAAACGAGCAACAGCGTTGAACGGGCTGCTCCGGAAGGATAGGGCGTGGGAATGGGGGGAGGCTCAAAAGGGAGCCCTGCAGGACCTTATGACAGCAGTGAAGACGGCAACCGTGTTACGACTGCCGGTAGCGGACCAGCCATTCACCCTCTACACCGACTGGAGCAGCCAAGGAATGGGAGGGATACTCTGCCAAGAGGTGGAAGGGGAGGAGAAGGTGGTAGCCTACGCAAGCAGGAGCTGCAACTCGGCTGAGGCGCAATACAGCTCATACATAGGGGAGGGACTAGCGGCAGTATGGGCGGTGGGACATTTCATAGTGTACCTGCAGGGACGGGAGTTCACCTTGGTGACGGATCACCAGCCATTGACATGGCTGATGACGACGTCAGGACTGACAGGCAGGAACGCACGGTGGGTGATGAAGCTGCAGGAATACGATTTCAAGATCAAGCACCGGCCTGGGAAGACTCTACAGCACGTGGATGGCCTCTCCCGAAACCCCCCACAGCTGGAACCGAGCGTGACCTTAACATTGCTGGCCAGACAGGTAGAAGTGGGTGGGGAAAAAGGGGGCAAGGGGCCGGCAGATATTTGGGAAGACGAGCAAGCCATGCGGTGGGTGAAAGGGGAGACAGGGGAGGATGAGGAAATGACGGAGAGAGTGAGGGCTAGGGGGCACCACTATAGATGGTATCAGCAGCAGTTGCAGATCCAAACCGAGGATGGTTGGTAGTTGGTGCCAGCACCTAGCGACAGGGAAGCAGTGATCAAAGAGGTGCACACGAAGCTGGGGCACTACGGACATGAGAGGACAGTGCAGCTGCTGAAGACAGGGTGGTGGTGGGAAGGGATGCGGAGGCAAGTGAAGCGCTGGGTGGAGGGCTGTGAAGCATGCCAGAGGAGCAGGGCAAACCTCAGCCAAGCTAAAGCCGAGCTGCAGTCCCTGCCCATCCGAGGCCTAGGCTTCAGGTGGTCCTTGGATCTGTCCGGGGAACTGCCCTTGAGCCGGGGGGGTAAGCGATACATCGTGCTCATGGTGGAGCATGTGAGCAAGTGGCTGGAGGTGAGGGCAATCTCGAGCAAGAGCTCCAGGCAGGTGGCAGCGGCATTCAAGGAACAGGTGATCTGCAGATTTGGGGCATGTGCAGAAGTCCTCACAGACCAGGGGACCGAGTTCCAAGGGGAATTCAAGACGCTGCTGGAAGAGACGGGGATCACTCA